CGCGTTCCTGTGTTCGGGCGCGGGTCGCCTCCACTTGCTGTTCGCTTCCGGCGAGTGCGCATTCTCGTTCCGCAAGAAGGCCGTCGGCGACCGCAATGTTAGATTCGCGCGCCGATAGGCTGTTATGTGATCCTCCCACCCGCGAGTGAAGCCGGGCGTTTGGGTTCTGCGTGTTGGCGACGGCGTGGGCGTAGTCAGCACTCAAGCGCTCCCTTTCAGCAATGGTGAGCCCTTGCTTGGCCCTTAACCCACGGGTCGCCCCAATGATGGGCAGGATCACTTGAGCCTCGAATCTTGGTACTTGGGGCGCCCGGAGATTCGCAACGTGTCCTGCAAGGCTCGAATCCTCCCAGGGTTTGGCGATGTTCCCTGAAACCAAGCGCAAGCCTGTCGTTGAATTGGCCACAGTTAACGTCGCATCCGACGGCTCGTCTTCATCAAGGAAGGTGAGCTGCACCTCGATAGCGCCATGCTGGCGTACCCATTCTGAAAGACGGGCACCAATATGGCTCCACTCTGTTGCCGTGTAAGGAACCAATGCCATTTCCTTAAACCAACCTCGCTGTGTCTGTAAATTTTAAAAGTAAAAAAAAAATCTGGCTGCTATTGGTTCCCTGATGTCCTTGAAGTCTTGTTTCTTCCTAAAATTCATAAGAAAGAAAAGTATCGTAAAGAAGAGCATATTATTTTATCAGGACACATATACATTAATTAGGGTTAGTCAGCATTCCTCGCGATCATTCTCTTCACAAGCTCCTAAAAAATTCTCCGAATGAAATTTAATATTTTCACGAGGTGAAAAAAACTTCCCGGCCGGGAATTGAACCCGGGTCACCCGCGTGACAGGCGGGTATACTTACCACTATACTACCGAGAACTCGAAAGACCACAAAAGGACTTTGACTTATTCGTAATTAAAAATACGAAAGAGAAAATTTATGTTCAAAAATATAGACCTAAAGCGTTATTCTGAGAGACTTTGGTGGAGCAAACGTGGCCGAGTGGTTAAGGCGCCTGCCTGCTAAGCAGGTGTGATCTCACGCGTAGGTTCGAACCCTACCGTTTGCGATGTTTTTCTCATATCAAAAACGGTTTTATTTGTCTCTCTGACGCTCTTTTTTTTGTGGATTGTGTGGGGATGTAGCTCAGATGGTAGAGTGCCCGCTTAGCATGCGGGAGGTATTGGGATCGATACCCAACTTCTCCAACTTTTTTCCGATTTTTTTTTTTTTGCCGCCAAAGGCGCAGGATGAAGCGATCACTCTTCAAAATAGAATTTCTCCGCCCCCATTGGGTTGTTAATTTGAAATTGTGGGTTTAAAGGGCTGCTGAAAGAACAAACGGAAATCAACGGCCGTGGGCCTGGCGGTAGGCGGCGGGAAGGGATCTTGTTTGGGTTAGGGTTTTTGTGTTTGGTTGTGCTTTTTTTCGGCCCTGCTTGGGAATGCGCGCTTAAGCGTAAGCGGTGGGCATTTTATGGAGTTGCGTTCATTAATACTTTCCGCGTTCAGTTTTTATGAGTTTCACAAGGGAGTAGGGAAATACAAAAACAAAAAATGTTTTTGAAAATAAATAGAGGAAAAAAGAGAAAAAGATGAAATTAGCTTTCATTGGTGTTTTAGTACCAGTTGTCGAAAGATTTGTTATATGTATAGGTAACTAGGGAATCATTTTTTTCTTTTATTTTTTATTTTTTAAAAAGTACGAGATGGGAGTAATATCTACATCTTTTAAATCCATTGTCCTCTTTTTCTCTCCATTCCTCTTTTTTTTTATTTCTTTCCTTCTCAAAAAAAAAAAAAAAAAAAAAAAAATTAGCAACGGCAAGAACAACAAACAAAAGATAAGCTCTTATTTATTTATTTTTTGCTTTGGAAAAGAGGGAAGAAAGGAGGAAAACAATGGATGGAGAAGAAGCTGATGTGACGAAAGAAACCAAGGAAGGAGGGCCAAACACGTCCCATACCTTTTCTGTGGATGCAGCCCCATTTGAACCCAGTGTAAACGCCTCCTCAAATTTAGCAAATGGATGGCAAGATGCATCGTCTGTTCTTACAGAACAACTATCCGCTTTGGGGGCAAATGAATCCTGGCCTTATCCGGCACAATACATTGATATGTTTGCGCTTAATGCGAGCATGAGGGCAATGGTGGAGGCAGCAGCTATGATGAACGTTGGGGCAAAAAGATACAGCGGAGCCCCCATTGTAAAGACAACAAGTCCCCCTAAAAAGGGTTCTAATGCTTCTGAGGCCTCAAGAAAAAGAGAAAAAGGGAGCCTATCGATTCATGCTAAGCCTTGGTCTCCATCTCCTGAAACTGGCCTAAATCAGAAAGAGGGAGACACCTACACACACCTCAAGAAAGGCTGGGTAAAGGTTCCATACCGAGGTGAAATGGTTATTGCACCAGTTGCATTCAAAGAAATAGCTAATGATTTTGTGCATTCCCTTACCGTAAGGCCTATTGAAAAACCAAGAATCCATTTAGAACTCTATAATTATCATTGTGCACGATGTGCAACTCACTCATTTTTTGGACGTTTATCTTGCAGGGATGCAGATGTGATCTTGAAAGGTATTGCCGGAGACATTCCCCCGCTATGTGTGGCACATTTGATTGAACAGGTCACGGGAGCTGTTGTGTGTGCCCTGTTTACCAAAGGTGACTGTCTCGACTATGAAATATGGTTGGAGACTCCTGATAAAGCTGCTCATTTTGCCAAAACGATTTCTGACGCAATGTGGACGTGTCCGATGTTTCACGGATACGCTGTTCACACTAAAACTGAAGAAGAAAAGGCTTTTTTACATGAATATATATCAAGCCTCAAAGATGATTTTCCGGAGGAGACACCTTACCCCATGCGTTGCGTCGAAGCGATTGCTTCATCTACTGGAAAGGTAAAAGGTTAAGTGTGAAAAATTTTCTTTTATGAAGAATGCACTCGGTAATATGATTAATGGTTTCATTTTTGCTATTGTTTATCCGTTCCGTGATCTGATTAAATTCTTGTATGCTTTTTATAAATAGAAAGGAAAAAAAAAAAAAAAAAAAAGGAAAATCGAAAAATATATTTTATTTGCTTGCTTGATGTATAAATCTTTCTCGCTTCTTTGCTTTTTATCTATTTTAGTTAGAACGTAGAATATGTCTATGGATGCTTTGACAGACGTTTCCAAGACAACGGCTCAGAGAGATCGATCTGTGGCGGCAACATACACACCAGAGGAACAGGTATTTCATCGATTATTTCATCAGATCCCATTATCAGAAAAACTAGTAGAATCTCGTCAATGTGCTTTATTAACAAAGAAAAAAAAATTCGCTCGAATGGGAACACTTTATGCATCTTCACTTCGCCTATGTTTTAGTTCTTCCTTTTTGAAAGAACCGGTTATGATGCGTTGGGAGGACGTGATTTCCGTTAAAAAAGGAACAAGCTTTCTTTTTGAAGCGATTTTTGTGAAAACAAAAGGACAGGAGGAATACATTTTTTCTGGGTTTTTGTCGGGAGGGACAGGCCAAACATTTAAGTTACTTAAGACTTTATGGACAGTTCGTGCAAGATACGCCTTTTCAGAGACGCCAACGCAATTCCCACAAGCATCACAAATTGATTCCCCTTTGAAAGAACCCGGTTCTGGATCTTGTCATTCATCCGAAGCATCATCTTGTATAAATGATGAAATTACTGGGAAAAATGAGGATGAAAAGCCCACAATTACTTTAGCCCCCTTGTTAAAGCCAACCCATTCAGAATTTAATTTATTTAATCCAACTTCCGGCTTCGGCACGAATGATTTAGATTCCACTGAATTTTCTGTGGCAACTCAAGATACGGAAGAAAAGACACGTGGCTCTTATATCCCACGGACTTCTTCAACACCCAAAGGCGCCCTTTTGGAAAAGTTTGACGAACTACACTCTTTTTCAAAGGTTCCTAAATCAGAACCATTAATTGATTACTTTCAATGCAGCTATGTCTGTGGAGTCCATCGAATTGGGAGGCTTTATATTACAACCAACTACATATTATTTTCCTCAGTAATGATGACGGAATCACTTCAGATTAGTTTTAGGGATGTGCAGAGTATTGAGAAGGAGCAAACGATGATGATACTGGACGGAGTTGTTATCAAACTTATTGGCAATGAAACCCATAGTTTTACAAGTTTTGTTAGTCGTGATGCCGCATTTAACATTTTGACACATTTTTTTAATGTGACAAAGGCGCTTAGCACACAACCACAGAATCTACCTCATTCTCTTCAAGAAAATTGTACAAATTCTGGGTTTATTACCAAAACTAGCGAGCCAAATGTTTCAGGGTTTCCTGTTGTTGATTCACTTCAAGAATTTTCTAAAGTATTGACGGATTACGGAACGGCATTTAGTGATTTTTCGTGTTTTACAAGGGAGCTTATTGATCCCATCGTGCTACCAAAGGGCAAAACGGTCCTGGATGTATTTAAAGTTTGCTTTGACGATAATGCTTCCCTGTTGGAGGAATATCATAGGGATAGAAAGGACAGCAACCAAAAATGGGAACCATGGCGACCTGCGCAGACCGGCAGTCCTCAATTTTCTGGTCAAAGAGTATTCACTTGCACAACGATAATTAAGGCTTTGGTGTCCAAGTCGTGCCCATTCACAGAATACCAGCGGTACGCATTTATGAATGTTGGGGGTCATGAACCAACACTGGTTGTGCAGCTGTCAGGGCAAGCCGAGGGTCTTATGTATGCTGACGTTTTTCGTGCGGAGGCGTTGCTGGTTTTTACTCAATCTGATTCGGGTGTTGCAATGCGTGTTTTTGGTTATATTCAGTTTCTTCGAGATGTGTGGGTAAAAGGCAAAATCCTGCGTACGTCACTTGATAACGAGATGCCAGTCTGCTATAGAAAACTGGGGTCGATGCTAATAGAACGTCTTCAACAGGAAGGTGGGATATCAGGTGCAGAGGGACCCGAGAAAAGTTCCACGGAGTTGACCTCTTCGTGTGCTAAAGCGGTCTCGGGAACGCCCTTGGACAAAGCTTTGCTTCCGAGGGAGAGAGTTTTGCAATGGGGTCGTGTAGTTCTAGGATTGCTTGGGTTGATGACGTGCTTGGGGGGATTTTTCTCTGTGTTTCTGATGAGGTTTGATAGCAATGCTCATTTGAAACGAGGTGCCTCTAAGGAAAATGTGCTGATGGTTCATTTAGTAAGCACTTTTTTCGAGTTTCTTCAACCCACTGTAATTTCCGTTCTTGCAGTGGGTATATTGGCATTTTATAGGTTGACCACCGATGCTTTGTTTTTAATGGAATAAATGGAAAAAAGTATAAAACTCCACGTGTGGTGATGATACAGTGATTATATACCTATTTTGTGTTTTTATGTGTTTTTATCGTTTTTGATTTTTTTTAAATTTGCTTTGTGATTGGGAATGAATTGTCATTTGTTTATCATTGACGCTGTATTTTTTTGCTTTTTGATATAGAGGTCTTTCTACCTTTTCCCCCCATTTTTTTTTTCCAGCATACGGATCAAAAAGTTCAAGAGAAACAGTGATGTTTATTACCAAAACTAGCGAGCCAAATGTTTCAGGATTTCCTGTTGTTGATTCACTTCAAGAATTTTCTAAGGTATTGACGGATTACGGAACGGCATTTAGTGATTTTTCGTGTTTTACAAGGGAGCTTATTGATCCCATCGTGCTACCAAAGGGCAAAACGGTCCTGGATGTATTTAAAGTTTGCTTTGACGATAATGCTTCCCTGTTGGAGGAATATCATAGGGATAGAAAGGACAGCAACCAAAAATGGGAACCATGGCGACCTGCGCAGACCGGCAGTCCTCAATTTTCTGGTCAAAGAGTATTCACTTGCACAACGATAATTAAGGCTTTGGTGTCCAAGTCGTGCCCATTCACAGAATACCAGCGGTACGCATTTATGAATGTTGGGGGTCATGAACCAACACTGGTTGTGCAGCTGTCAGGGCAAGCCGAGGGTCTTATGTATGCTGACGTTTTTCGTGCGGAGGCGTTGCTGGTTTTTACTCAATCTGATTCGGGTGTTGCAATGCGTGTTTTTGGTTATATTCAGTTTCTTCGAGATGTGTGGGTAAAAGGCAAAATCCTGCGTACGTCACTTGATAACGAGATGCCAGTCTGCTATAGAAAACTGGGGTCGATGCTAATAGAACGTCTTCAACAGGAAGGTGGGATATCAGGTGCAGAGGGACCCGAGAAAAGTTCGGCACTTTTAACTTCATTACCTCCAGCAAATGCTGTGGAAGTTCTCAAGGGCTCGTCTCATGTATCTGGCTTGGTATGGAGGACTGTAGTATACATAGAGTTTGTATTGGAGATACTGAGTGCACTATTATGTCTAAATTCACTTTTTAGGACGTACTTCTTTACCGCTTCAAAAGATATAACTGGCGCTCAGATTCCTGTAATTGCAACGGGCGAGATTTCTGTTAATTTAACGGATGCTGAGCAAACATTGAATACGGAAATATTGGGTTTATTGGTTGTCGATTTACTTCGTCCCGTTTTGCTTGCATCGCTACTTTGCTTGCTGTTTGTTATACAACTTTTTTTACGAAAAACTGTTTTTCGTATGAAGCGGTGAAAATTAAAAGCCCATATTAATTCAAAACAACAAGAACAACAACAACAACAGATACTATGTTTTACTCATGAAACATATGTGCTTGTTATTTATACCGTTGCGTTGAATTCCGAGGTGTCGTTTTTTTTTTTCTTCTTTTTTTTTTTTTTGTTGTCGTGGATATCTATTTTGAATAAGATGAGTAATGGGAGGTTAGCCAGTGAGGTGTCTTCTTCGTATCTAGAAAAATAGACTACTTTGCTAGGGGGAGGCCATGGTTTCAAATAGAAGTCTTAGCGCTCCTCCCGGTGGTGGTAGCCTTGCCAATGATAGTAATCACTTTGGGTATCGCTGGGGAGAGCTGAGCGTCGGAGGATTTTCTCCGTCACCTCCGCCATCTAGCCCCTGGCCCAATAGACCGCAGACGTTTTCCAGGTATGAGAGTTCCGCCGACTGGAAAAAGAGCCCCTCATATGGTGGAAATCGCTACGGAGCCTACTTTCGCCGTAATCGCGGTGGTGCCTATGGACGTGTGAGTCATGAGTTTAATCGAGGTTATTCCAGTCGTAGTGCCAGTGCTTTAGAAGAGCAAGATCTCCCCTTTCCGCCACAGGGAAGGAATGGGAGATTCAACGCTCATCGTAGTTCTTCCACGCCAGTTTGGTCTCAGGGGCCTTCGTACCCAACATACCAGACTCCAAGCCCTCGCTACAATGGGCGCCGCTCTGGAAGCAGCAGCTCGGTTTCCAATGCCACCAAAGGCAAAGCTGAAATACCGCTTCTTCTTGCATCGGCGTTCTCAGAAAAACAGACTACACGAGTTCGTGCCTCATTAGAAAGCAGTAGTACATTTTCGCAGGGCGGAATTAGGCTGAAGCTACTTGAATACTTGGGGTATTGGATGAGTGATGTCTTAACTGGTACGGCGGTTGAAAAACTGATTATGGAGACCTATCGCGAAGCTGACCTCAAGGATATTCATACCTCAATAGGGGAGAGAAAAAAGTATTCTTTCAGTGAAGTTTCTAACGTGATGAATACTGGGAAGATTGCAGGAGATCGTCATGTGCAGGAAGGCGAAAAAGTGAACGGTTCCAACCGGGCAACATCACCTTTATTGTCACCATCATCCTCATTCTCCTCATTGTCGCTGAGTTCCGTGTCATTCCGTCGATCCGAGTCTAAGAACACGTCTGAAGGGGCGGCGGTAAGACGAGAGCAAGAAACACAAGGCAAATGGGAGAGAGGGACGGGAACGCATTTTAAGAAAGACAATGGGACGGATGCGAGTTCAACCACTCCTGAAGGTCGAGTTTTTTCTTTGGTCCGTTCTTGCGGTGCGGAATCAGGGGCAACGAAACAAGTTTTTTTAACTGCCGAGCCGAAAATTTTGCCTCAACAGACAGCAGTCTTGCAAACTTCTCCTTTAACTCAGGCAACGTATAGTCATGTTCCACGCTTTTATTTTCCAAAGGGAGCTCAAAAAACAACGGAAGAGACACTTGTTGGGCCAATGAAAAAGAAGCATGAGAATCCACATCTAAGGGTACTGGAGGGGATGGTGATTCCAACTGCTGTCCACACAAATTCTGAGGAGCGAGCCGCCGTCATGAGCGATGATGTGTTCAAAAGGCATGAGGTCAAAAAAGTCCCAATAGCTTCACTGAAGGCGGTGGAAGATAAGTGCGTTCATATGATTATTCAAAAGGAATTTGGTCGTCTTCCAGCGCCACCCAAAATTATTCACGGCACACGCCCTCAGAGTTCAGCTGCAAAAGGATTTATAGGGCTCAATAATGGCATGCAGA